GACTCTCTTGAATTAAGTCTAATTCTATTGGCTTTCAAAAACCAGTAGGAAGTGTCCAGGCTGTCTCTGCCCTGCTGAGCCCACCAAAAGTCCCATTCTGCAAACGGTGCTGCACCAGTTGAGTAGTCCTTGACTTATGACCAGTTGAGTAGTCCTTGACTTACGACCGGTTGGGGGTCGCGGCATTAAAAAGGTTGAGAACCACTGGTCTAAGGTCATCCAGTAAATTTCCAACTAATTTTCATCATCAAAACATTGGGGTATGCTTCATGCACCACACCAACCCCAAAGTTGGGTGACTTGAGGATGGACCACAATGGAAAATAAGTTCAAATCTCCTACAAAAAAATCAAGAAGCAGGGTCTCCTGCTTGAGCATGGGGTTGGACTAGAAGACTTCCAAGAAGCAACGGATGGAAACTAATCAAGGAGAGAAGCAACCTAGAGCTAAGGAGAAACTTCCCAATAGTGAGAACAATAAAACAGTGGAATTACTTGCCTTCAGAAATTGGGGTGCTCCATCACTGGAGACTTTTAAGAAAAGACTGGACAATCACTTGTCTGAAATGCTATAGGGTCTCCTGCTTGAGCTGGGGGCTGGACTGGAAGACCTCCAAGGTCCCTTCCAACTCTGTTATTCTGTTAAATCATTGACATGGTGTTCTGACAGACTAAGTTAGAAGGCAGGATAATTCTTAAAATAGCTCCAGCCAGAACTTGTCAGTATCTTAAAACACCTTCCCCAAAATTCCGCAAAATACAGGAAATCCTGGTCCCACTGAAAACTGAGTCTATCCATGTTAGAACTAGCCAACCAGCTGGGTTGGGCGAAGCTTGTACCTTGTTCAGGGTGGTGTGCAAACCCAGCATCTTGGATTAATTCAGCAAATTGAGGTTCAATTAACCATGAGTAATATGCTGGGCGAACCTAGATGTGAGTGAGATATTTACATTATATGTCTAGCCGACCTGACCAACACCTTCCCCTGCCAAGTGTATGCCCCACAGCCACAAAAGAAGAAAAAAATGCAAGTAGTTCTTGACTTACAACCACAATTTATGTTGCTAAGTTAGACAGATGTTCAGTGAATTTTGCCCTATTTTAGGACCTTTCCTGCCACAGTTGTTAAATGAATCATTGCCGTTCTTAAGTTAGTAATGTGGTTGTTAAGTGAATTTGACTTCCCCCATTGACTTTGCTTGTCAGATGGTTGCAAAAGAGGGATCACCTGACCCCAGGACACGGCAACTGTCATAAATACGAACCAGTTGCCCAGCATCTGAATTTTGATCATGTGACCCTGGGGATGCTGCAACGGTCATAAGTGTGAAAAACAGTCCTAAGTCATTTTTTTTCAGTGCCGTTATAACATCAAACTGTCACTAAATGAACTATCGCAAGATAAGGAATACCTGCATTTTTTTTAGAACAGGGGTCCCCAACCCCTGGTCCGTGGACCGGTACTGGGCTGAGGCATGCCAGCAACCGGTCCACACAAACAAGCAAAGCCCCATCCATGGGATGCATGCAGCACATAAAACCACGCACTCTCTGGTCCGTGGAAAAACCTCTCTCCACGGAACCAGTCCCTGGCGCCCCAAACGTTGGGGACCTCTGTTTTAAAAAACCCATATCCGTCTTTGACAAATCCCGTTTCCCAACTTCTTTTGCCTGCATTCCTAAAGAGAAAGGATCCTTGTTGAATTAAATCTTTAGGCAAAAGGAAATGCTATACAGTCATTTTCTTTCTTTCCTTCTTGAGCCTCTATCACATTGGTTCTCAACCTTTTTAATGCCGCGACCCCCAACCGGTCGTAAGTCAAGGACTACTCAACTGGTGCAGCACCGTTTGCAGAATGGGGCTTTTGGCGGGCTCAGCAGGGCAGAGACAGCCTGGACAATTCCTATTGGCTTTTGAAAGCCAATAGAATTAGACTCTATTCAAGAGAGTCTATTCTATGGGCTTTCAAAAGCCAATAGAATAAAAGGGAGTAGCACAGCTAAGGAAAAGGGGGAAAAAATGGCGGACTGTGTTGTTTGGCGACCCCCGTGAAATGGTCATTCGACCCCAAATGGCGTCCCGACCCACAGGTTGAGAACCACTGCTCTCTCAGTTTTTAAAACTTCCTTTACAATGTCCCTTTAAATGAGTGGAACCGAAAGCTTAGCAAGACTGACTAAACAGTCAACAAGAACGGGGCGGGGGGGGAAGGGGGGAAGAGAGAGAAAGAACCGAACAATTTCAAATGTAAATTGGGTTTCTACTACAACGCTTCGGATTTTTCAGCCTCCGCCATCCACGCGGCTCCAAGATCCATGTAATCCTGGCAGATTCCCGCAAATTGGTCTAATTTGCCCCTTTGCTAATCCTTAAAGCATTCGTCATTGACTACAAGACAGGATTTTAAAAAAGTCTTGTGTAATTGCAACACTTAGGGGTTTTTTCACAAATATGGGAATGAGTTCATGCATCACTTTATAAACCAGCTTCTTTAACTGTGGTTTACTAAATAAATCGCTGGCAAACCGAACTGAGGCAAAACCAACCTAAACCTAGAGAAATGGCTTCTTTAAAAGAGGGGGCTCCAAACTTGGCAACTTTAAGACGTGTGGACTTCAACTCCCAGAATGCCCCAGCGAGCACGGAGTCCTGGGAGTTGAAGTCCACAAGTCTTAAAGTTGCCAAGGGTTGGACACCCCTGCTTTAAAATATAGGAAGCCCCAACATTTATCTGACATATTTTTAAAGATTTTTGCTAATCTTGCTGGTGGCAAGTGCCATCTATAAAACATTTTGTATAGATTTTCTTTATAAGAAGTTGACATTAACAAATGGCTTTGCCATTTCTCTCAATTTGTATTGTATCCAAAGTTCTTTGCCCATGTTATCACTGTTTCTTTTATTTGTTCGTCTTCCATTTTCAAATTTAATAGAAAGTTATACATTTTCTTAATTAGTTTTTCATCAGAGGTTAATAATATCTGATCAAACAAAATCTGCTCTTTATAAAATCCATACACTTTAACATTTTTATCGTATCTCACTTGCATTTGTAAATGTGACCACCACGATAGATCAATACCCTGATTTTCCATCTCTTGTCTAGGTTTTAAGTTCCCTTCAGAGTTCAGAATATCTTTATAGGTCCATATTTTCTCAAGACTGACTAGAAACACATCTGCGTGGGCTCATTCTCAACTTCATCAACTTTACCAGGCTGTTGTAAGAATAAAACAGGAAGAGAGAAGAGAGGAGAAGAGTGGGATGGGATGTACAAATAATCTGCAGCATTTGAAAATGCAACAGGAAAAGAAAAAAAAAGAGATAATCTGAATGCTTGTGGATTTAAAGCCCTTGCTGAAATCCTCACTTGGATTGTTTTAAAGTGGGTCAAGCGTTTTGTCTCTTGTCATAAAGCAAGCACTGATACCAAAAATTATTTCCTTGTCTCAAGCATCTCTCGCTCAACCAGCTCACAGAAAGGTCTCTCACGTGGATTTCAAGAAGAAATAAAGTGAAAAACAACCTACACTTCCCCGCCCGTATCTGCATTAGCAGTCAATAGATTTCCAGAACATTTCAGCAAGAATCAAGTCACAGCATGTCTTGTGAATCACAGCTTGGGCACAGGCCTTGCAACCAGGCTGGGAAGACTTATGGATATGGGGGTAAATAAAAGCAGGTTACTGGGGTTTTGGTGACAAGGGCTATGGGTCAAAACCATTACTTAAAAAAAAAATAGAATTATTTTCCTTGCAGTATGTGTTATGGCTGAGAGGTCAGGGAAATAATTTGTCCACAGTAGATTATCTTTGCAGGGACTAAAGGGAGAATGAGATGTTTTTGTTTTTTTTTCCTAACCATCTTCTCATAAATAAATATGACATGCATGGCTTCACTGCCCCATGTAAGTTGATGTTTTACATTTTAAACCCAGTGGTTGCAAGAGGATTCTTCAGGATGATGAAGGGAAGGGGAAGGGGAAGGGGAAGGGGAAGAGGAGAAAGGAAGGAAGGAAGGAAGGAAGGAAGGAAGGAAGGAAGGAAGGAAGGAAGGAAGGAAGGAAGGAAGGAAGGGAATAAAGAAATGGTATGGGAAGGGAAGGGTATAATGAAATGGGAAGGGAAGGGAAGAGAAAAGATGGGATGGGATACTGGAAAAAACTTCTTTCTATCCATTGATGTACATACCATTCAATAAGTGATCAGCAAAGATGATCATCTTGTTCTCCTTCATCAACTTTTTTGTAGTAATATCTCCCACCCATAATCTGGGAAGCAAGAATTGAACATCTTTTCTAAGATCTAGCCCTCAACACAATTCTTACTTTTACACACTTTTGCAGTAGTGTGTCAGGGGAAGCTCCAGTCCTTGCTAAAAGTCTACTCATCTCTTCAAGCCAGGTCAGAAGTTATATTTTCTCCTAACAACTTCTTTGTAAACACACCCAAACATTGCTAATGTCCTTCCAAAGACGTCCAGTTTTAAGAAACTCAGTGCTGTCTAAAATCCACCCCATTTCCCTCCACCTCAACTTTTAGGTGATGACTTTAGGTCAGAATCTTTGTGATAGGAGCCGCATATATACTGGAGTAAATAAATGTGAACCCTGGTTGTCTTTCTTCCTGAAAACCAGATTTAGCTCATACAGGCATGTTCTTTGCATAGCTATGGCAGCCTCAAGACACACTTTGAAAATGAGAACAAGAGCGAAGCAACAATTCACTGAGGTACATTATCTTAAATGAAGTGCTTTTAAATGTAAGCAACGCAATCATGCACAGGTACAAATCAGGACACACCTTGAGCAATTCAGTGATGGATATACCTATGTCAATTAACTCATTGTAGAGTCCAGAAACAGAAAACCTAAAGGGCTAAATATCATTTAGCATTCATTGTAGGTTATTTGGGTGAAAATGCTTCCTTGCAAAGCTCCTAATGGGATAGGAAAGAGTAAGGATGCAACAATATGCCAAAAAAAAAAAAAATACAATACCTCTTTGCCCGATTTCTCAATCTCTACGGTCACGGTGGTATGATTCTTGTGTTCTTGGAACATGCAGAGGTAACAGATGCAGACTTGGTCGGTCTGGCAGAAAAGCTCCATCGTCTTGCCATGGATGGGACATTTCCTGGCTTCAAAGTCTTTGATGGGATCCAGCAGCTGGTGGTCTCGGAAAGCAGCCCCTTCAAAGTGGGGCTTCAGGTGAAGCTCACAGAAGCTGGCTTGGCACACCAGACAGGACTTCACCGCCTTCTGCTTGTTGTCGATGCAAGAGTCACAAAGGACCTCTTCCACAGTCACCCGGGGTCTTCCACTAGGTACCCTACTGACCCGGTTGAAGTTGGTCCTTTTGGTCTCTGCAGATTCCCCTAGGGAGATGATGGGTTTTCTTAGATCGGCAATTTGCCCACTGGAAAACACTGGCTTTTTCCCTTCTCCTTCACCGCCGAAAGATTTCTTGGTCTCCACATTGAACAGGGGCTTCCTCAAATCTCCTCGCTCTGGAAAAGAGACTTGGGACCGCCGAGTTTCTCCTAGCTGCCCAGTAGGAAAACCTGACTTCTTGGCCTCCCCTGCTTCCACATTGAAGTAGGTTGACCTCTTCTCATCAGAAGACTCCACAAATTGGATGATTGGTCTCTTCCAGTCACTTCCGGCAAACATAGAATTCTTGAGTTGGGTTGTCTCCAGGATTGGTACCACATTGTTTTTGTTGGCTTCTTTCTCACCTTTCTTTGGGCTGCTGGATTTCTTCCCTTCTTCTGTCTCTTTCTTGGGTGAAGAGGGAGTCTTGGCTTCCTCTTGTTTGCCTGCGGTCCCGTTTGTCCTTGCCGTTTCCATCGTGGTCCTTTATCCCCGTGTTGGCTTTCTGGCTTCTTCTCTGCAGCCACGCTCTGTGAAGGAGAGAATCAAATTGCAGCCTAATTTGCCCCTTTCTTTCTCTTTCTCTACAGAAACAGTCAAGTTCTCAGGCCTTGATCCCAGCGAGGAATGAAAAAGGAACAGGGAAAGCACTACCTAAATGCCACACCTGGAAAATGGGGAGGAGAAGGGAAACACCTAGATCATACAGGTAGAGCCAGAGAAAAGACAGGCGAAGAGATATTACAAAAGGCATCAAGGAATCCTGCTTAATTATAGAAGGTGCTCCACACCCAAAAAATACCTGTCTAACCAGGTTAGGGAGTAAAAAGCTATTTATGTGTCACCCTACCTTCTTCTTCTTCTTCTTCTTCTTCTTCTTCTTCTTCTTCTTCTTCTTCTTCTTCTTCTTCTTCTTCTTCTTCTTCTTCCTCCTCCTCCTCCTCCCCTCCTCCTCTTTCTTCTTCTTGCCTCCTCCTTTTTCTCCTCCTCCTCCTCCTCTTCCTCTTCCTCCTTTTTTTTCTTCTTCTTTCTTCTCTCTCAAAAATTATTTTCATTATGAGGCTTCCAGCAGGCCTGCTACCTGCTTCAAAAAATAACTACTTCTTGACAGCAGGAATGCATAAGTAGAATTAGCCAGAGAGGTGAAAATATCCACCAGGCAAGTTCTATTAAGCGGGACGCATGAACATAAGCAATTTGGCTTGCAGTTAAAATTCATGAAGAGAATAAGAAACCAGCTACTAGACATCAAGAATGAGAGAATAGCACCCTCAGACACCAGGGTTGTCTGTGACCACTAACAATTTAGAAGAAGTTGATCATCTCAGACATTGAAATTCTGCTTCAGGTATTATCTTTTCAAGGCCTTCCACATTAACCCTCATCTATTTTATTTCCAGAATATAATTGAAAAGTCCCATGCTGTTTCTATTTAAATAAATGAGGAAAGGCTAGAGGACCATGACTAAAAATGTAGCTTTGTGCTCACCATGAAGACCTGGTAGAAACCATCTTATGGACACCAAGGAAAGAGGAGATCCTCCTCACCTCTTTTATTTCCACTGCCATGACCTCATGAGTGACACTACTACTACTACTACTACTACTACTACTACTACTACTACTACTACTACTATTATTATTATTATTATTATTATTATTATTATTATTATTATTATTAGTTTTATGCAAGCATCCACTTACCTTCCTAATGAGGCTGCTCAGTAAAAAAGGATATGGTATGTGTTTGCTTGTAATTGGCCACTAAAGTTTTCTCATGGGTGCACCACAACTCCATTTCAAAAACACCAGTCATGCTCCAATTTTTGAAAAGAAACACTCTGTTAATTTATTTCTTAAAACAAATACTACTTAGGACATTATAGGATGGGTATCTTGGGTTGCCCTGTATGGTGAGCTGGTTTCGTCCAACAGTAGCCTGCAGGAATGTAAGATGATGAAAGAACGTTCCCAGGTTCTTGGGTGGAGTTCGGTCTTCTCAGATCCAGAGATAGTCCTCAACTACCTGTGAACATTGGAAGTTACGATGGAGCAAACATTGGAAGTTACAAAAGCATTGTGAAAAAGTGACTTATGGTTGGCCCTCACTCTCATGACAATCAACAGCATCTTCACACTAATGTAATCTAAATTCAGGTGCTTGGCCACTGGCAAGTATTTATAATGTCTGCACCATCTTGGGCTCAGGTGACTGCCATTTGCAACCTTCCCAGCCAGCTTCTGACAAGCATACAAGTCAATGTAGGCATATCACAATCCAGTGGATTAGGACAGAGATACCCAACTTTTTGGGCACTAGGGACTAGTTACGTGGAGAGAAGTTTTTCTGCAGACTGGAGGGTGCATGGTTTTGTGTGCTACCTGCGTCTCGTGGGTGGGGCTTTGCTTGCTTGTGTGGCCTGGTTGCTGGCATATTGTGGCCTGATACTGATCCGTGGACTGGGGGTTGGGGACCCCTGGACTAGGACACTGGTCCCGATCCTTTCTGGCTCCAAGAACCAGCAGCAGCAGGAGTGGGGAGGAGATGGTTTTGCACACGCAATCTAGCTCCTGTGCATTCACGAATGAAGCTTTGCATGTTCACTGGTCAGTTGCACCGCCCAGTTCCCAACTGGCCATGGAATGGTACTGGTCCATAGCCTGTAGGTTGGGGATCCATGATCTAGGAAACATGGATGAACACCATTCACAACTAGGATAGCTGGAGAGACCTTCACTGCTTCTTCTTCTCCTCATGATATCCTTCAGCCAAATTTGACTGTCTTCAAGGAATTGGCTTTCACTGCATTACCTTCTTTGATCCTGGCTTGGCTAGAATCAGGGCCTGCAAGGGGAAACCTAGTACAGAAAGCACCATATCCTGAGGTTATGGAAAAGCTTGAAAAACGAGTCAGAGAAGGAAGCGTCCGAGATCTTTTCACCTCTCTTTTTTCATCCGTCATCGCCCTAAGTAATACATCAGCCTTCTGTGGATTTATGCAGCGCTTTGAATAAAACCAAGGCTAGCAATGATCGAATCATCCCACTCCATGGGTGTGGGGGAAGTGGGGAGAATTGTCAAAAGGTCATACTTAATCTTCTGGCTCAATCAAGTATGTAAAATATCTAGATTTAGAGGGCATGTCCAGGGAGACACTTCTGCTCCTCTTAAAAATTGGCCAAGCCCTGTTGAGAAAACGTCATTCGTTGTGTTTGACTTTCCTGCAGGAATTTGTCACCCAGGACCCGTGTCTCATGTCTCAGTCGGCGTTGTGATCCTTTTGTCATTCTCTTCCACGCCAGACCTGTCTAGACGCTCTGGGGTGGAGTGAAGTGCCAGGAATGAGGGTGACAAAGTGCCACGGTCAACGCCTCCTAGTTATGGAGCTACAGAGGCTTCCTCATCCTCTCTTTTTAAAAAAAAAAAAATGCAATACCGTCATTATCATAATTGCTGGGTAAATGTTCCATTTATCATCAAGGGTAGTGAAAGCCATGTCACCCATGGCTGTGGGCCAGAAAAAAGCACAAGGGAAGCCGATGCGTACTCAGCTAAAAGGGTGTTTCATGGCTCTCCTTTCAGTGAAAGAAAACCTGTGTGACTGTTGTGTTGAGCTGCCTTAGAGGGCAGGTGTCATCTTTCAAGGTTGTGTAAACAATCAAGGTTGCCTCCAGATTTTGCCCAAAACTAAACTGATTTTATTTTATTTTATTATTTTTAAGCATCTGTAGATTATTTGAGGAATGTCAAAGGATGTCAGACTGGTTTCAGACTAGCCCAATTGCTTAAGGAGCAGGTTGGGGTTCTATCTTTTAGAGAATTTTTTTCTGGGGCAGAAAAAGTGGAAGGTTGAATTCGTTTTATCTCCCAAATATAAATATATTTCTAAGTGTCTTTTTTTTTTCAAGAACTATATCATTATATCCTGGGACGTACAAAATTGAATAAATTAAGTCTAACCAACTCATTATTTTAGGAGGCTTCACATGGAAAGTTCAAAGACTAAATCATTCAAGGGTCCATGCTTTGTTCTGTTTAAAAATAAAAAAAATCCAGAAAGTTCTGATCACCAATTGATACTATTGCTATCCATTACTCTTTCTTTATTGCCGATCTTCTTGTTGTGCTTTACAATACCATAATTTAATTGTTGTTTTAATTTTGAATATGTTTGTCTCTCTCTTAGAAAAGGGCTTTCTTGAGGATCCCTTAGGTCTCTGTCCTTGAAAGAATGGAGATATTTTATTACAAATACACAGCAATCTTTGCTGGAATTCCCCAGGAAGACCCACCCAGTGAGGAAGGAAGGAAGGGAGGGAGGGAGGGAGGGAGGGAGGGAGGGAAGGAAGGAAGGAAGGAAGGAAGGAAGGAAGGAAGGAAGGAAGGAAGGAAGGAGTGATTGAGTGATTGATTAAGTGGAGGGAAGGGAGGGAGGAAGGGAGGGAAGGAGGGAAGGAAGGAAGGAAGGGAGGAAGGAAGGAAGGAGGGTACTGTATCTGCAAAGTTCATGATTAAAGCTTGCTTCAAGGAAAGTTATACTTTAAAAAGTGGCTGTTGACATTTGCCTGTTTAAAAGTTTCTTAGCTAATTTATGGGGGAAACTGCCTATGTTAAATTGCATAAAGAATCTACATAGGTTAAGGGAAGTTATAAATGAAAACAATGCCGATATGCTTTTAATTGCTCTTTCATCTTTCATGGGTGATTGATGCAAAAAGCCACTAACCAGAGTATTCGTGTAACCGGATGCAGACTGACCAACTCCTCTCCCCTCCACCTCCAGCACTCAGCCCCAATGCTGGAAGATGTGATTCTGAATCTACCCTAAGGAAAAGCTCCCCACTTCTCTTGTAAAGGGGATGCTTTGAAAGAAGAAGCAGAAAGGAAGTGGGACCATTAGCTCAGAGCCAATTATAGCGCTAAAAATAAGTGGGATGGCCTGCAGTTCTACTCCAATTCAAGTCCAGTTGGCACAGGGTCAGAGGTCAACCTTCAGAAGATAAGAGTAAAGGATGAAAGACTGCAGAAACAGGACAATCAAATGCAAAATGAGGTTGCCACGCCCTTTGTTGGGGCAATTTCACTCCACGAAACACTCCCACAGCCTGTGTGGGGAAAACGTGTTTAGACAAGAGAAGGGTTCTTCTCAGTGCAGTTGAGTCAAAGCGTCAGGATTCCCACCCACTCCTTCTTCTCTAGGCAATTTCTTTCTTTCTTCTTCTTCTTTTGATGTTGCAGTTCAATAAAGTAATAAGAGAGGAGCTTGAGGGTGAACATCAGAAGGCCAGGAGATGGAGGAGAAAGAAAAGGAAAGCAGATCGTCTTGATTGAGAAATGGAGGAAGATAGTAGTCAAGGGAATGAGACACACAGAAGATAGGGAATGCAGAAAAAAGGAGACGTAATTTTTTTTTTAAAAAAAAAAGCTGGTTGAGGATCTCAGAGTACAATGAACCAAGAAAAAGCAAGCTCGCACCAATTTAAACCCACAAAAGTATTTATCTGGGCAACAAAGTAGACTTTCCAATAAAGGAGAACATCTGTAGCTCAGGGCTGAACTGTGGGGTCCTTGGTGCTCTCTGAACTTGGTGGTTTTCTTGTAGACATTTCATTACCCAACTAGATAGCATCATCAGTACTAGAAGGGAGTGGGGTTTCTGGAGAGGAGGAAGAGGAGGAGGAGGACGACTGTGGGGTCCTTGGTGCTCTCTGAGCC